AGGGCATTGGGAAACAAAGAGGCTGTTTCAAAAAGTGAAAAATAATGTGTGTTCCCATCCTGTGAATCAGTTCTTTCATGGTCCATATTACGCCCTTTCAAAAAAGCTGGCAAATCATTTTCCCAAATCCAGCTTTAAAACACAAATACACATTAAAAAAACAAACCAATATTTTCGTTGCATTTTGCATCTGGATATCAGAATAACACAGAAACCAAAATATTCAAGTGACTTGTGGGAAAGATGTGGAGCAGATCTGAAAGACAGGCAACATAATTCAACGCATTATTTTTCAATTATCACACTTTTCTCTTGATACACAGTATGGGGCCTTTAACTTCTGTTTTATAAGCCCCTCCCCCCTTTGGAGTATGTCCCTCTCCCTCTGCCTTAATCGCTTTCTCCCCCTAATCCCACCAAACGACAGCCAGTCATATAAATCAACATGTTTACAGTGAAATGTTTCCAATTAAAGAGGACGCTCGTTAAGAAGCATCAATGGACACTGCTGGATCCTTAATTGCCTGGGATGCCAGTGTGTGATGCATATTAATTACGTATTAACCACACACACACACACACACACACACACACACACACACACACACACACACACACACACACACACACACACACACACAAATGCATAAAAGAGCATTAAGTGTGTATTGCATATTAATTACCTATTACCCTTTGTGCTGTGCTTTAAGTGCTGCGTGGCATCAGAAAGACAGCTTGCCCAAGGGCACACACACACACACACACACACACACACACACACACACACACACACACACAATACCACCAACGCGGTCTACTCACTTGCATTCACAATGAGGAATGAGCCATTTCAGTCAGCCAGCCATGACCATAACTAATCTCACCACAGCAATTGGTGTGTGTCTGTGTGTGTGTCTGTGTGTGTGTGTGCTCAGATATGAAGATTTACGTGTGAGTGGGAGTGTCTTTTAAAGATTATTTAACGAGTAAAGCACCTGATCCAAAGATCTAACAGCCTGACTGTCCTTGCATCTGGAGAGCCTTCATCGTAGGACATCTATTAAAATAAAAAATGAAAAGATGATTCAATTAAAAGAAGAAAGTAGTCACTGAATAAGGAGATTATTTTTAACGCTTTCCAAAAGTAGTTATGTTTAATATTGTATCGGCTTAAAGGTTGGAGTGTATGGTAGACTCTATTATAGAGATATATTATTCATTATTGAAAATGGTTTAATACATTTCCTGGTTTTGCTAAAAAACAAATTGGGAATGTCTCAATCAACTTATTTGTACAAGTATACAGCTATGCTACCAGCTTAATTAACACTGCATGTTTAGCTTAATGCTGTATGTACAGTGACAACATTTTTATTAGCATTTGTTTACCGTTCCCCCTTCTGGGTGTTTAGCGTGTTAGCATGCGGACATTTGTTAATGACGCGCAAAGTATGTTCTTTTTTGGGGGGAAATAACCTTTCATTCAGAAATCTTTGTTTGAGTTCACATTAATGCTAACAGCTTAATTCACAATGTATATATATATTGTTTTACATGCTATACTCGTGTGTTTATCAGCATATATTAGCTAGCTCACTTCTTGGTACGTAGTGTGTTAGCATGCACATATTTCCTAATGACGAACAAAGTAGCTGTAGCTTATGGTAATTTCATTATTTTTGCTATGATGATGCCTTTACCATTCACAGAGCCACACAAAAATAGAACTCAAAACGAAATGTTTTCTTCATATTTAAGTATACACATTTGACTATATGTATGTCTATCATTTCTATTAACAACTGTTTATTTCGCTGTGGCGGATGGTGTGTACAGTTTTTTGTAATCAGTTATTCACATGTGCACTAATTCAGTTGCCATTTAAGTGGCATTTAGTCAACTTACATGTTTTTGTCCTATCTTGTCCTGACAGCCACACCATTGGCTTTAAGGCCTACCCTTCAGCTTTTTAGAGTCCATACTGAACACACACTCTCTTTCACTCTCTGTGGCATTTTAATCGCTTTATCCTAGTTTCTGCCTTCAGCTGGCTGCCCTGACCTTCATGTCCCCTTTTGCCTGCATGTGGTACATCTTTAAAATGGAGAAAAAACATAAAAAAAGGCGCATGATATAACCATGTAGTCACTCACACTCATGCTGTCAAGTCATGTCCAACAATACATGCTTACAGTTGATTACCACACATGTTCATTTTTCCTTCAGAGCATGTGTAATCTATGTAGCCTGAATGGAAATTAGCTAGAATTAATGGTAATAAATAACCTAACATGTACACTGTTGGTGCGTATTAGTGCACTGGAATTGGTTTTCATTAAAGTGGCATGCGATGGATTTTTTTTTCACACCAATTTGCACATTTGAATTGCAAATGTTTATATCGTTCTCATGATCATGTGCAGATTCCAGCGGAAATGGGTGCATTATATTAATGTAATCAAAACCTGTCATATAATCTCTGACACCACAATATTAGCAAATGTGCATTTGTCTATTTACATTCCTACTTCAATCAGGCTGGCTGTGTCTTTATTCAGCAATGCAGTTTGGTTTTTACATATGCCACAATGAAGTTTACATTTTTACTAATCCATTGTTTAATTCTCTAGGATTGTATAGTTACTATATTGCCTCATATAGTTCCTGTTGCATGTGGAATAAATACTAAGTAGTTACCCTCTGCAACAGACAAAAAACTCAACAAAAACTCCAAAACAATAACAGGACATCCATAAAAGGAGCCACTATAATACCATTCTGTGCCCACAGCATGCTGTTTGATTGACAGGTGGTATTTGGTAGTGCAGCACAGGCACAAAACATCATGTGAGAGCTAAGCACCAAAGATAAATATATGTACAAATAAACATCAGTTCTCTGTGTGTGTGTGTGTGTGTGTGTGTGTGTGTGTGTGTGTGTGTGTGTGTGTGTGTGTGTGTGTGTGTGTGTGTGTGTGTGTGTGTGTGTGTGTGTGTGTGGCTGGCTGCCACCCAACTTTTATTGCTTTGACCATGGGGGGTTTTGGAGGATGAAATGACTATGGCAATAAATCTGTATGCAACCATAAATGTGCACGTGGTGGCGGGCAAAGGCAGACAAAGGATCTGGTGTGTCCTACTGCCCTGAATGCTGCAGACCTTCACACGCACAGGCACACACACGCACACACGTAGAATGGAATGAGGCTGTACATCATTGTTGGCTTCATCGAAGTATGAGGAAGTAAATGGAAATGCGTTGGGATCCATTTTACTGTATCCCACGAAAAATGTAATGGCAGCAGCAACAAAAAAAGTCCATCTTTTCACATCTGAAAAAACCTAACCCCCCAGGGCATACAATACTGTCCGTGTGCTGTTGAGCATGAATTATGTCATCAGCTGTATGACTATCTGCTCATTCAAAATTAGGTCATCTTCACAAATGCCTCCACATCTTAGTAATTAGGGTTTGTGTGGTAACATACATGCCAAGCACATACGAAAATACACAAGACTTATTTTATTTGTCTGTGTGTGAATCAGAGGTGAGACACGGAGCGATTCAGGGCAGAGGGAGAATTTTTCAGGCCTAATGTTCCATGACAAAGGACCAAGGTTCCGTCAAGGGGAATCAGAGCCATTGCCGCCAAACGCCTGAAACACACACACACACACACACACACACACACACACACACACACACACACACACACACACACACACAAATCTCCCCTTATATTCCTCCTTTGTCTCATCCCCTCTACTCTTTTTCTCACCGTCCTTGCTCGTAAACTTGTCTTCCTTCTTCCTTCCATCTCTCCCGCCATCATTTCCTTTTTACCTTCCCCTTCTTTCTCCCCTTGTATCCCTTTGTCTTCTTACCTGCAGTTTAATTATGTAGTTGTTAATCCCAGTTGCAGCCTGGATGGGCTTTACAGCAGGCACATTTATAAAACAACAGCTCCTAACCTTTAAGCCCTTGGAGGACAAATACATCGCCTCTCTTTTGTCCTATACTCCTCTCCCTCCCTGTCTTCTCCTTAGGAAACATTCATTTATCTCTGACTATAGACAATCTATGGGCATCTTTGCAGCCCTTCTTGTAAAAAGTCAAAACGCATCATAATTAATTCATCCTCTATGTGTCGATTTGTATCTGCATGGGTGCAACGGCAAAAATCAGCAGGAACAACAATGCGACGATAAGTCAGTCATTGATTGGCTTTGGGGCGTAACCATGGAGACGGAGGTTGATTATGTATGCTTGTTAACAATGTGAGTGTGTAACCCCGCTGTTTACCTACTCCACATAGATCTGTCTGAGCTGAGTGTATGTTTGTGTGGGAGGAAGAGAGATTATGTCTGTCTGTTTGTATATGTGTCACATATTGGTTTCTCGGTGGGGACAATGTTGTGCAGCAGATGCACAAAATTCTCAATAAGGTTACAGTACATTAGATTGAATTTATCCAAAGCGACAAACAAAACAAGATTCCTGTGAGTGCATTAGCTTTTTAATAAGCAAAAGCACTGACGGGATGCTCCACGAAAGGAAAAAAAAAAGTCAGAAAAGTGTTTGTTTTTTTAAGATAATACAACTTGAAGACGAGAGCAGGGTTTCACCGGTTGGATAAAAGCAATAATCCCTAGAGGGGAGATAAAAAGACATAAAAAGGAACAAAGAAGGAAATACAAATGCGGCACAAACTAGGTGACAAATGATTCTTTTAAATTCAACACCGGTATCTCTGATGAGGAACCTCAAAACAACCAGAACCATTCAAATGGCAAATTGTTTTTGGTTTTGATGCTGACCTCCTTTTCTTTCAAAGGAACTAACCATGCTGTCTTGCTTTTTCTCTTCCCCCACTTTTCTTTTTTTACCTCTCTGACCCTCTTCCCTTTCGTATTTGTACGTCTCCTCTTATCATCTCATCTCTTCTTTATCCAACCCCAAACACTCCATGCCACCCGGGCCCCCCCCTCCTCCTCTATCAGTCTGCAAAGTGGGGTTTTACCGCTCGCTGCTGGAGTCTCCGGCCTGCAGTAAATGTCCCCCGCACAGTGTGGCCAGGCAGACGGGAGCCACCGCCTGCAGTTGTGAGGATGGATGGTATAAGATCGACTCCGACCCTCCCAATATGGCCTGCACACGTGAGGATAAAGCTCCTTTATATTTGCACATGCTTACTGTAAGTCTTATTTACCTTTATTTTTGGACATAGAGTTGCAGAAATAACATCACGTTTTTAAAGTGTGTTGACTCTTTTACAAGACGTTGACTTTGGGGCTCCTGAGGTAGAGCTGTCGTCCACCAATCAGAAAAATAGGTGGTCTGATCCCCAGACCCTGCAGCCAACATGTTGAAGATACATGACCCTACATTTGTCCAAGTGGAATCCAAAGCCATGGCAATGTTTACGGGAGCAATTCAGGTTTAGATATCTCTCTCAAAGACCAATTTCCACTGACCCTCTGATTGGTAGATCAGTCATTAAGCCCCTGAGCCATAGCTGCCCCTTGTACATGTATATGTTGAAGCACTTTTAAGAAAGACTAGATAAGTGCCATATAAATGCACTCCATTTACCATTAACATGATTGGTCCTTCTTCTCTCAGGCCCTCCATCAGGTCCACGCAACGCTATCTCCAACGTCAACGAGACCAGCGTCTTCCTGGAGTGGTCCGTCCCCATGGAAACGGGTAACAGGAAGGACGTGCGCTACAACATCCTGTGCAGACAGGTCCTGCCAGAGGGGAGGGGCTTGGAAGAATGCGGCCCAAACGTGCGTTTTCTGCCCCGACGCGTCGGCCTGTCAAATACGTCGGTCATGGTGGCCGACCTGCAGTCACACACCAACTACAGCTTCCTGCTGGAGGCCGTCAACGGGGTGTCAGAACTGGCAAAAGAGCACGCCAAGCAGTATGTGTCACTCAATGTGACAACCAATCAGGCAGGTATGTTGCAAGCGATTTGTCACATATGTCAATACTTGCTTTTTCTTTCCCACAATCACAGCCACCCCATGAGTTCTCCAATCTGCACTACAGCTGTCCTGTTGTCGCAACGGAATTTCACAACAAATATCTCCAACTGACTCTTTTTTTCCTTATTGAGACTTCCACAGACCAACCTGATGTGTCAGATTCCTGGCGCGAATATCTGTGTCTGAGAACAAAGACGCCAGATGATCATATTATAACAGCATTTGTGCAAAACGTCGCTTCTATTATTGTTTTTTTCTTGTGTGCCATCCATGCTGTGAATGAGGGAACATTGCACAGTGGAAAGCTTCTTTGTTTTTGCTTTTGCATCCAGATTTGTCATTGAAAAAGCAGCTTGCCCCCCTCGACTAGTCGGTGCATTTCATCAACAAGATTTGCAGGAATCTGGGGCGTAGTGAAAGCGCTTGATTTGCAGGCTGCTGCTGCTGGGGTGTGCGGTGTGTTGTTTGGTAGCAGGTGTCATTCTGCATGCCTATCAAAGTTTAATCAAGCTGATGACATTTTATTTTTAGAATGGGAAGTGTAATCAACTCTGAGCAAAAAAGAAAACTTGAGCTGGTATAATGTGTTGTAGCTGCTGGCAATATTCTGTTATCTGCAAGCCAGAGTGATTTAGAAAATCTGTGTGGCTATAAAGTATAATTGAGCAAGGCACTAAACTCACTACACTAAAGTGAGCAGCACAGTGGCCAAACATAAAGACCACTCTAATATTAGACAATGAAAGACTCCAGCTACTCCCCATAGCTGTAAATATTGGAATGTTTGCTGGCTGGCTGTTTTTAAAATGGAGATAAAAATTCACACAGGCTTTGGGAGACCATTTTCATGTTTACGGGAGTTGTTTTATCTGCTCGTAATGAAATGGTAGCACACGGTGGAATGAAATGAGAAAAATACAAGATTAATGCTTTCCTTCCCAAGGCTTCCATCTGTAGAAATATTTTCCTGAAGGACTGTGTTTGTTCCTGTTTTTTTAACAAATGGTTAATTGGCAGTCAAGTCATAGTAAGGAGTAGTGGGATGGGCAGGCAGATGGTGGTCTGACAGTGGAGGGTACTGCCGTCCCTTTAACTGTGTTGTCATTGTGGCTGTCAGCAGACTGAGTGGATTACACCACCCAACAGCACCCACATTCAGTTTATTAGAGATGCAGCTTGATTAGTTATCCAGTCACTGGGCCCAATGGAGATTAGGGATTACAGATTAGATTACACATGGCTGGCAGAGTCACAGACAGGAAAACCGGGCTTCCCTTTGGCATGCATGTGATACATGCCAGGGCATTTCTTTTTTTTTATTCTAGTGATATTAGACAGATAGACAAGCTTACATTTGAAAATATATTCAAAAATATCCCATACATCCAGGAACTGTTGAAAAAAACATCCACATGTATTCCCAAAAACATAACTGAAGTGCTGTCAAGGCCAAAAGAAACATTTGTTCCTAGTGGAAGAGTAACTGGTCATTTATGAGTAAACAAGTTAAAAAAAGCCCTGTTTGTAAGGTTAAAAGTTATGAAGCCTCACAAAGGAGGTCAGGTTAGATTAGATTGATTTTATTGATCCCAAATTGAGAATTGTTTTTGTTATAGCAGCATGTCAACAGGGCATTGCACATATGTTCATAATAAAATAAAATATAACGGCAAACCCTCTGACGTTAAATCGGGAAAACAAAGTTTTTGCCATGATTTTATTCCATTTAGTGACCGATAAAGCCATTACAGAATAGTATAGTAGCATATTTAGCCAACGATTTAACATCATATTATTTTAACTCTCTTTCGCTGTGCTTTTAATTATGCCTATATGGGCTATAATTTCAAAAGTGTTCTTAAGAGACTATAATAGCAATTGACTCAATTGTCTTTTGGGGTAATCATTTTATTTTCGGAAGGGTAATAAAGCAAACCGATGATGAAAAGAAAGATAAATACTTGATTGGATAATAAACCGAAGCATTGGAAGCTTGTTTTAAACAGCTGAGCCAGCCTGATGTTAGGCTGTTCCAAATGTCTAAAATACAGATTGCAGAACATGTGTGCAAACATATGTGCTGACATGCAAATGTTTAGAAGGTTCAGTCGAGTCATTTACACTTAACTCTAAATACTATAAAGTATGTGTTGTTAAAAAAAAAGAAGGTATTACAACTGTAAGACTGCTAATTTCTCACCTGTGGTGTTACACATCAGTTCAGTTTCCAGATGGTGTCCAGACTGTTTGAGTAGAAACGTTATATGAATATTCAATAACATTTTTAATTATTACAATTTCTCAAGTTATTATTTCTGATCCATTGGGGCCTCTTCAAGGGTCACAATATAATGTAAATGTAGGGTGACTGACCAGTTGTCCCACTTTTTGACAGTCATCCGTCTAAAACCTGGCTTTTATCCAATGGCTGTTTAGCTTTTCACCATAAGCTGTTTCGGATGTTAATCAATCAACAACGGCTCGAAATGTATTTACTAATGAGTGTAGCCGGTGGAGGGCGATTCCCAGAAATGTCTTTGTGACATTTACCATAGTTTCTTTTTCAGTCATGCATGGACTGGAGATGAATACGATTTAAAGCAACACTGCATGAAACTCACAAGAAATGCCTGGCTCAAGACAAATATTGATCTATGGATACATTCTTACTGAAACCAAAACAGGATAACCAAACAGAAACACATAAGGTTTTAGCAGCTGAAATAATGAACATTTCCCACTCGGTAATTTTTTCAGACTTAGACATATCAAAAAAATACGGACATGTTGGCGGATGATTGTTTGTTGTAAAAATGAATCCGCTCAAACCGAATATATTTAAGTATTTTACTATTTTTGTAAACAATAAACCAAGTCAAGCGTTGTCAAAAATACTTATAAGCTAATAGTTTCAATATCATTTTTTTATTTTTAAGGGTTCGATGAACAAACAGTATTGTTCCACATGTGGCTTGTTGGAACCTGGTCACCCTATGATACACCTGGAAAGATAAAGCATGAAAACTAAATTAATTAATTTTTTTGTAAATGTCCCCGAATATTTACTTTTTTTTTTTACCCCTATAGATCTCCAGAAATATGCAAATGAAAGGATCTGATAATGAAAAAGCACTCTGCTCACTACTCAATGACATACATTCACAAGTAGCAACTTCTTAATATTAAGCTGAGCAGCACTTACGCTACTAAACTAAATGTACCTGATATGACTTATGATCATATCAACTTTTGCTCCCATCTTGCTTCAAGTTACTCCTCCCCAAATCCATTATAGTGCCTGGTGAACATATCCAGTGTCATTGACAGATGTTGCTAGAAGTTCTGCTGCACTTTTAACCACCCAGCCGTGATTTCGAGGTGTTCACACCCTGAGTGCATTTATAAAAATCACTGTAGCGAGGTTAGGACTTCAACCACCGGTGGTCTTTCCTATCAAATGATTTTGCAAAGTAATCCTAACAATCCTGTTAACAATAATCCTGAAGCATTACTCGTAATGAACAGTTTAACACCCTGCCTCGCCTCTGTGTCACACATGTAATTACCCAATGAGGGCTTTGATGAGCGCTGTAAACATCTGCGTTGTGTGACTTTGCTTCTGCTTGTGAGGGTAAAAGGGTTGAAAGAAGATGGAGGGACGGAGGCGGTGGGGGGGGGAATCAGACAGACAGAGACTGAGAGAAAGAGGATCTGCCGTTTGATGTGTGGGAAGTGTCACATTCCATAAGGGATCCGTGAAGTAGGTGATTTCACAGTGTCCCTGCGAAGCCCTGCTGAATAATAAAGTGTTGGTACTCGTGGAGAGGAGAGGTGAAAGGCAGGAGGGAAGGTAGAGTTAGAAACTGTAAAAGTAGTTGGGGAGGTTGTGATAAAAGGTGAGGGAAGAAGCAGTAAAGTAACAGGATATATATATAAGGTTCACAGTTGCTTTGTGTTAATTCAAAAAACACTTAGAGGTGTGGTGTAGCTGGGCAATTTAATAATGGAAGTCATATATGTTGCTCCACTTTGGTGTTTTTGTAAACAGAAAACACATTTTTGATAAGGTAGCTAGCGAGCAGCCACTATTAGGTTTACTATGAATGTATTTAAAGTTGCCCTATTATGCTCATTTTCAGGTTTCATAATTGTATATTTGCCTCTACTGTGACATGTTTCCATACTTTAATGTTCAAAAAGCTCTTCCTCTTTTCACTCTCGGTCCGTTAGCCATGTATAATGTGTTGGAGCGCTACCCAACTGAAGTGCAAGTGTTACATCGTGATGTCACTATGTCGGGGAAGTAAACAAAGGACTACGATTGAGGAGGGGGGGGGGAACTTTGGGATTTTAGCCTTTGCAGACCATTTACATGCACTAAAAGCTATAACACACTACAGGAAAGGGAAAAAGCATAATATGGCCCCTTTTAAGAATCCTCCCGTTAGTCTCTTTATTTTAGATATGTCGTCGTGCCTTGTGAATAGATCTTTAAAATGAATAAACTTTATATTGAGAACATACATGAGAAAATGTCAATTCTCAGTGGAAATCAGAAGAACAAATAATGTACTCTAATTGGCCATTAATCGCCAATAATCACGGACAATTCAGTCTTTGCTAGTCAATGATTATTATTTATGTGACAAATGACTTCCTGCGGTAGCTGCTCCCTGAGGCCTTTTATTTCTGCCTGTTTGTTTCTCTTGGTGTTCACAGTGTGGGAGCACTGTGTGGTTACTGCACACTAAATGCTCCCATACGTTATGTTTGCTGTTGTTGGCTATTAATCAAATGAAACGTGATACATTACCTTGTGGGTGGTGCCTTACTTTTAGATATATAAGTGGTGTTTTTTTTTCTCTTTTAACTGAGATGAATTGAGCATGGAACTTCTATTGAGTTATTTTAACCATCATATTGGAAATATATCATCTTTAGAGACATGTGTTTTTTGGAGTCTACAATTGTCCTGTTTGAGGTCATTTGTTGTTTTTAAGAAGTTAAACTTTGATACTTTCTCAAGAAACTTTAGTAAGTTTGTTTTGGGCGTCTGATTTCTTCATTATTGTCAGTGTGGTTCAGCCATTTTTTACTTTGGGTGTGACAGCTCAAATGTGTTTTCTCTCAAACAGGTTGAGAGGAAGGCGTTAAAGAAGATAGATGAGACACTTTGTAGCTCAGTGCAGAGAAGATATGTGAAAGGATTGTGTCTTGGAAAGAAGCTGACTGTTGGCCACATGGTCGTTGTGTTCTTCAATTTGACTTTTAGCATTCAACGTGTTTTGATAACTTTCCACTTGCTGATATATTCTTCTGTTAAAAATCCACCTGCTTAAGTTTCAATATGCTTTTTAAATGCATTATTGTAAATTAAATAGTATAAGGGCAGTGAAGCGATGAGGGGAGAAATAAGGATCGATCATTCAATAAACAGCTATCAAGTGGTGATTACAGGACGGGGGACCAAGAGGATCATGGGAAATCAGAAATACATACAGGTCTGCTGTTTAATTAGACGACTAACTGACTACTCGATTGATCAATTATAATTAGCAGGGAGAAAATTGCGTTTTTGGCATCTCAGGTATGGAGATTCCCTGCTTTTGTGTGTTTTATACCATATTACTCTGAAACACTTTAGATGTTGGACTGACAAAACACACGTTCAAAGACGTCACATTCAACATTTGATAGACCAAATGATAAATCTCGGAAATGATCTGAAGATCATCAGTGAAAATGATCCGGATTTGCAGCCCTACCCCTGATACGCTGGTCGATTGTTGGTGGGGGGGCTCGAGGGGGGTGCAGTTTATATTTCCCTTCAGACATGCCCCTGACCCATAGGCCAAAAAAGTGTGTCAATGTCCTTTATCTTTCTGTTACAACTTATGAATTCCTGATTGTGAACATTTCTAATGATAGAATGTAATATGTTCACGTGTCAAATCACAGTTTCAATGAATGAGAGTCCCATAAAGTGAGCAGGTAGGTAGTGAGTATAACAAAAAATAATATGAGAGTACTTTACAACCCTGATAAAGCTATCTCTTTCTATCCCTGTGTCTCCTATCTCTCTTCCATTCTGTGGCTGTGTCTCTCTTTCTGTCATTCTCCGGGGGTAGTTAAAGGATAACAAAGCCGATAGCTGAAGGTCTGTATTGATTCTGGGGATGCTTCAGACAGATTGTGTTCTGAGAGGCTTATGTTCTGCACGGTGATAACGGTTGCTCCTATCTGAGGCCAGAGTTGTCACACTGCAGGGCTGCACTCCCTTTTTTATTTTTAACCTCTCTCAGCATGGGATGGAAGTTTTTAGACAGGAAATGGCACCACGAGCATTAGGAGTGAATGTGTGTTCTGTATTACCGTACTGCAGGTGCTCATTAGCAGATGTAACACGCACGGGAAGTGTTTAAAACAGCGAGTGTGATTCCACTATCTTCCCTGAGGCTAAAATAAAAGTGTTGCTGGGGCGCTGTCTAAACACTTTCGTCATGTCTTCCATTCTTTGTCTCACATTTTTTCCTTTTTTGTCTACCTTCTCGCTTGTCTTCCATTGTCCTCCCCCTCCTTTAGCACCCTTCTGTCTCCTCCATCGCCTCCCATTCCTCGCTGCCACTGCGTTTCTCAGATTCGTCAAGTTTTAAAACACTTGTTTGTTTAGTCTCAGTCGCCAAGTGGTGGCAGTAAAAGTTATCACATTGTGTTGACTAAAGCGTTGCGTTGGGTGTTATCTGTGGATGTCATACGGTAAATGCAAGATTATAGCTGAGAAGAAACAGGCAGAAATGATCTGAAGACCCTTCCTTTTGTTTGTTAATGTGCTTTAAATATAGACTTTAGTACAAGTGTCTTCGATGCACAGAAAACAACACAGTAAAAGTGCATTTTTTTGCATCATTTCAAAAATGATGGTAGCTTCAAACATGCACCTTATGCAACCTAAAAACTTAATTTTTTCAACTTTTTGAAAATAATGTTTTTGAATACAAGACCAAAAAATATGCCTTATTTTATGGTATGTCTTAAATCACTAATCTTTTTTTAAACATGAATTGAAGGAATATATAAATAAATATGATAATAATTAAAAACCAACAACATATTAAACTAATACTTGAAATACCTTTTTTAATTCATAAAATGGCTATTCTTGTGATATTCTCACAATAAGAAATGGGAATGGAATGGATTTCTGGAATGTAATAAATGGAAAAAAATAAATTAAACAGACTAATCATTCAAGTCATTTGTAGCTTCTCAAATGTCTGGATTTGTGATTTTAACATAATCTGTTAGGTATACGCTTTTTAGTTTTGAAGACATTAAATCAGGTTCTTGGAAATTGTTTGTATTTTTCATTCTTTTCTGACATTTATTAGCAGTTAAATCCATTATCTAAAACAAAATATTACTTGCAGCTTGACTTGTTAAAATATAAACACATTTTAGTTGTGCAATAACACATAAGGTTTATTTATACGACTCTAAATCCTAAGTGTATATACCAGATTCCTTACATATGAACCCTTAAGGCTTTGATTAAATATAGCATGGAGAACTGCATCCATTTTTGGAGGATTTCAACTTAGATGTTGGTGTATTGTTACCCGTTAAGCTGCTGGGAAAGGAAAAGAAGCCCTCTTTCATCATCGCACCCTAGCATTTATACCATTTAAACATTGAGTGTGTGTGTGTGTGTTTGATTCGGTCTCTGGTTTCAGGCTTTTAAGATGTTGCAGATAACACTTCTGTGCGACCATCCACTCAGGATACAGTTACTCTGTTTGTAGCGATGATTTATTCTCTGTGGAGTTCTGCTGATGCTATTGAAACCCAAACGCTGTTTTGCATTTTCAGTAGAGGCATATACACACATACACACACACACACACACACACACACACACACACACACACACACACACACACACACACACACACACACACACACACACACACACACACACACATTATCAGGATATTGCCTGAGGGAGCGTTTTACCCAGTGAAAAGCTCTTTATGTGTCAGAGACTCTCCAACTGTCCCTCTGAGAGATTGGCCCTCAGTTCAGGTTACAAAAAGATGGCTCTGTGATTGATGCAAACAAAAGCGCTCACTTGACTTCAGACTTTTCGTAATAACATCTTACAATGAAAATGGAAACTTTGCAAAGACTTAAAAGCGAACAACAAGTACTCTAACATGTCTTAAAATCTGGATACTGCCAATATCTGTCCTGTAAAAAGCCGTGTGGCAGATGTGTGGAGTCGTAGCTGACTTCATGGGCTCCTATGCCAGCCTCTACTGAATAGCCTGGTATAAAGGGATAGTTTAATTAGGCACAGGTGCACCTTGTTGCGAGATTGCAGACATTTTTTGGAGGCGAAGCTGCTTGGATCCAGAAATAATCTCAGTTGTTGAGTCGCAGCTCAATGGACTGCGCCAAATAACCTCGGAGGAACTTCGGTAACTAACAAACATGAATTCCAAAAAAGAAACTCTGGGGGAAATATGTTGTTTTCTTCACCTAGTTTGACAGAAACATAAAAGACACATGTACATCACATCATGTGACATAGTGAACCCCCTCCTTCCCCACAGTCATTTTCCATCTTTTCGTCTTTGATCATCAGTTTAATATTTCATAATGTACAACAACCACAGAAAGAGTTACAATTTGCTCTGCGCTTGTAAACATGAAAGCATGAGGAGTCCCTAAAATACGTTTTTCTTCTAGATGCTTATGGTACCCTACATATTTCATAAGCATTTCTATTGTTTTAATCGCTATTCATTGCAATTGTATGTTAGATTATGTTATACGATAAGATAAGATGAACCTTTATTAATCCCCGAGGGGAAATTAAGTTGAACAAAGCAGCAACAGGGTAAGCGTGAAAAAACAGGACAGCAAAGATTCACACAGATTAATAAAACATTTTTTTTTTTAAATAATAATGATACATTGGAATAGAATAATGCACTACAAATACATGTTGGAGCCTGAAGTTGTATTATGTCTCGTGTGTCTGCAGCGCCGTCTCCGGTGAGTGTGGTGAGGAAAGGTGTGACGGGGAAGAGCAGCATCGCCATTTCTTGGGCGGAGCCTGACCGCCCCAACGGCATCATCCTGGAGTATGAGATCAAGTATTTTGAAAAGGTAAACAACAGTTTGAAAGAAATGTTCGTCTAAGAATTTGCTCTGGTCTAAGGCTCACGTTCTCATATTCTCAAGTCTCTAGGTTTTGTATGCACTCTTAAGCTTAGTTTATTTAATATACAGTAAACCAAGCTGGAAGTATTCCAATCCAGCTTTATAATTGTCCTTTTGGGAAACTACCACGTAAAATAAATCCATACAATAAAGTCTGCATATAAATATATAATTGTGATTAAGATTTAAAGTACTTTTTCATTTGGTGTTTATGGTCAATGCTATGTTCGACTGAATGCACATTTTTGCGCAGTACCACACAACAACTGTATACTCAGTTGTGTATGAAAATATCTGGTTTAAAGTTAGTTAAATAAAGGTTATAAGAATCCACTGTTGAATGGATTTATGCTTTTATCACCCCTGTGCTCCACAATTGAAAAACTTTATATATTTGCAGAAGCGCAGAAACGTATTGATTAAGATTAGTTAAATTGGCCCTCAGAGATACATCTGAATAAACATTGAATTCATTTTTATTTTACTGTTCCCCCAACCTTGACCTTACACAGGCTCTTTCATGTGGCAGAGAAAAGGAACACTCGGATTAAGCTCTCTTTTATAAAACTAAGACTTAGACAGAGACGGCAATTTGATGCTTCTATTCAGGTCATTGTTTCCGTGCCCTTCCTCTTTTCTCTCTTTAGTCCTCCGATGTCTTCATTCCTGGGAAGGTCAGAATACATGTATACAGGGGAGCAGAGCAGAGCAGGGTTTGTGGTCAGTGGTTAGCTAATGGCTTCTGGCTAATGGAGGGGCATTTAGCTGTGTTTAAACCTGATGCGGTTACAGTTGTGAAATTGATCCTTACACACATGCAACCACACACACACACACACACACACACACACACACACACACACACACACACACACACACACACACACACACACACACACACACACACATTCAGTGCTGTTGGCTAGCCCTACACACGCACGCACACACACACACACACACACACACACACACACACACACACACACACACACACACACACAACACACACACACACACACACACACACACACACACACACACACACACACACACACACACACACACACACACACACACACACACACACACACACACACACACACACACACACACACACACACACACACACACACACACACAGTGCCTATCATAAGAAAAATTTGCAAAATCTGAAACAAAAAAACATTCTAGAATCTACAAAATCTGAAACAAAAAAACATTCTAAAATCTCCAAATATGTTAGAAAAATGAATGTATTATAATAACTTCCCCTTTATTCTACAGGAGCAGGACTCCAGTTATACCATTATAAAATCCAAGGAGACTGAGATGGTGGTGGAAGGCCTGAAGCCCTCTTCAGCCTACATCTTCCAGGTCAAACATGGGTTACAAAATGTTTTTTAAAAAGGAATTGATTAATAACAGTTTGCAGAAAAAAGCCCTTTAGTGTAGTCTGAGAGGAGAATATATGAATAAGCAATTAGAAAGACATTTTTAAATCAATGTCATGTATAACCAGTGGTGGAATATAAATAAGCATACTTCCAAGTATTGTTTTTAAGCACAATTACATGTTTGACTTTATGCTCCTTTATACTCTTCCTTATATTCACTATTGACGACAACAGAAACATATATGTAGTATTTCCCCTTTCCTTTAGTGTATTATATACTGTATGTTTCTCTGCGTGTCAAAGGTACCTTTTCAAACATTAAAGCATTTAAACATGTCATAGTAAAAGAAGAAAATGCAAATATTAACCTGAACATTTGCATAATATGGCCCCTTTAAGTATATTTTGCATATTTCTATACCTTCAGTTCTTTTAAACCATGGTATTTCTACTTGTATATTAGATTTTAGTTCTTTGTTCATCCCTGTGGCTAAAACATTTGAATATACAGTATATAAAACTATGGTGTGATATATTTGTTGCATTACAGGTGAGAGCCAGGACCTCGGCAGGCTACGGCGCATTTAGCCGACGTTTTGAATTCCAAACCAGCCCTTACTGTGAGTACACCTCAGAGAGAGAGCCTGAGCGTATCATTTCAACTTGTTCACGACTCCCATAGACTTTCTAGAGGCTGCACCAACAACAGATCCCAGGTGTGCTTTTGTGTGTTTGTACTATTTGTGTCTTATCCCACCTCATCTCTTTGGCAGTAACTGCAACCAGTGAGCGTGCTCAAGCCTCGATCGTGGCGGTGGCCATCACGTTGGCTCTGGTCCTGCTGGCGGTGGTCGCTGGATTCCTGCTAAGTGGACGGTAGGACATAAATACACACCAGAACGAACATAGACACAACCTGGGAAGCATGATATCCAATCTCTGTGCAGGTGTAAGACAACATTTTACCTAGATCAGACATTTTCACGAGTTTTTATCATGAAATCCTAGAGAAATTGCAATCGAAGATACTTTGCTTTTAGTACAAGCCTCAAATGTTGACATAATATATAATTATAGTAGGGTGATGCGTAGAGTTTCTTGAAAGACCTACAATCTTTGAGCAGATAAGGGGTCTTTACATAGTGAAAGCCTAATTTCTTTGTTCTTCAAGACATGCAGCAAAGGACTCGTGTGGTATGTGTATATACAGTATAGTAATTTGTCCTTCGTCAGAGGCCATTCCTTTGTCCTAATCTGACCTTTTGATGACTAACAAAATGACCAGATGTCAAATCTCCTTTGTGACCCAGATATTTCTGTGTTGAAAAGTAGCATTATGGAATTAAACGCATTGGCTTGAGGCCTGTGTGTAAGAGGTTAGGATTAATTTTGGCTTTTTTAGGTTGTGGCTTCAGGGTTAATGCTTGATTTGTGAATCAGGAGGTCCTGAATCACAGAGGAACAAAGCACGCAATTCATGAATCCACAGTGCCTTGAGTACATTTAACAATGCCTTAGTGCTGGCTCTTGAAACTTAACATAACTGTCATCACAAACAAGCAAAAAGCATTATTTATTTACATGTGTTTATTAATCAGAACATTCACAATAATCATGTGAAATCAGCAGGGGGGTTTACTCCGGTTTGCATCTGTCTCACTTCTGTGTGTAGATTGCTACAACGGGGGGATATTCTGTCTTTTTTTCTGTCCAACAAGCTCTTTGACTAATTTACCTAATTAAGCTATATTTATTTTACCATTTTACAACACTAACACCTTCTAATTGCAAGAGGTGCCAGGTTCACGCAAATAAGTGTAGCTTTCACATTGCTCCATATATTACACTCTGTGTTCGTGTTGTATTTGCATGCCTCCAGACTAATACAACATTCAATTAACCTCGTCTTGTAATTGCTACAAGCATATTTTAATGTGATTTCCAAACATCAACAGACAGTATACAGAAATGCACGGTGGCCGTCAGGTGCAATCGCAAGATTCCTTCCTTCCTTCCAGATCTAACTCAGCTAATCTACTTATTTCAAATATACTGACAAAACACTTAATAAAACAGACCCACTCTGCCAACAGTCACAGTTTGCCAACTTTACAATGTTTCAGATGTGTTTTGAGCTTCTTGCAGCATTTTTTTATTGGCAACGTTTTACTGTAGAATGCAAAAGATGTATATTGTGAAAAAAAACCCATGCAAAGAGAAGACAGTCAAACTATTTTCGTCAGATGAGTTCATTTGTCTCTAAATAAAGTCTCTAAATAATAGCCTGAATATTCTGCTTAACAGCATTATCTGTGATATGTAAGTTAATTACCAGATATATGCCTGAATGCCTTTAGTGAACCATAACTAACAAAGCTAAAGGCCCTTTTAAAAAACTCAGGGTGATTGGTGAACATCCTGCCGTCTCTCCATTTGTTAATTTGTAATATTGATCCTCAACCCATCTATCCATGGGGCTGATCATTCACTTTTTTCACCCATGCTTACACTTCAATTTGAACTCTTCCCCTTTAACTCTTAGGTCATCATTTTAGTAATTTATTTCATACTATATTCGATGATTTATTCATACGCTGGTGAATATATTTGACAGAATGATCAGATGGATGGACAGTGGAGGATCTGGTGAGGATTAAAAAGGAAATCGGAAATACCCAGTGGTGGTTTTGGTTTAGCCGAAACGGGGGATGAGGATCGCTCTAGTTTTCGTGTGGGGGAGGAGACATGGAGGAATGCCAGATTTTCCAGCAATTGATTTGGAACACAAGCACCACAACCCCCCTCCAACCTCTGTATCCCCCCCTGCCCGACCCTCCAGACTCCACCCGCATGCATAGACATCCAGCACACATGTGTAGACACACACACACACACGCGCAGATGCATCGTACGCATGGGTTAACGCACATACATAGGAAGTAGGAGGGGTCTGGCTGGGCATGAGTGTTATCAAACCCCTTGACTCAACATATCCAGCAAACTAAACCCCCCCCTTCCCAGGCATACACACATCCAGACTCCCCTCCCCCAGACTATACAGCTGCCCACACCGAACCCCTCTAGCCAAGCTGGGCTATCCTACAGAGAGCCTGGATGGCAAGTGTGTGTGTGTGTGTGTGTGTGTGTGTGTGTGTGTGTGTGTGTGTGTGTGTGTGTGTGTGTGTGTGTGTGTGTGTGTGTGTGTACACTTTACTACACTTTCATATGTTTGAGTGTGTGTGTTGGCATCAATCCTCTTGTTTAATCTGGGTCATGTGGTTTATCTCGGATGCTGCTTGTCTAAATATTGAAATACAGAAGATTTTGGCCCACAGACACACATCTGTACAACAAAGCAAATAAATATAGGTATTGGTAACCATGCTTTAGGGGTTATAAAGACATGGGCATCAGAGATAATGATATCATGGATGCAGACAACGTTTATTTAATTTCTCTTAATGTTGCTCTTTCCTTTGGTGCTTCCTCCTCTGCAAATTGGTCAGAGTTGATCTGTTGACAAGGCTTTTGTTAGAAAATGCTTTTTTTAAACTGCACTCCTTTGCTAATATCTAAAAGGCTGGTGGTTTTCAGTATTTTCAGCAACCTACGAGGAAATAAAATGCTTAGTTTGCACTTGGATCCAAATATGATTTTGCCATGTGCTTGCTAGGTTTAGCTTTTTATTGTCTGGGTTATTTTGTGGTATCTTTACTGGGATCTCTGCCTGTTGTTGTTTCTTCCCTCTCACTGAAAATGTAATTCTCCCTAGAATGTAAGGCAATATTTTGTGTTTTTTCATACTATAAATGTGGTAATCTGTGTGAGAAAAATTACATCTCTGGCTTTCAACAGCAGGTAAATGTAATGAAGTGTTCTCGTTTGTTGTTGGTGATTTGCAATTCAAACAAACGTAATTGTAGGATCCTCTGCAAAGACAAAACACTAAAGTGCCGTAAAATTACCTATAGTAATTAATATAACACCTTCCGTTCAAATTTGATTAACAACGTATTAACAAAACTACTATACAACAATATGATGATTATAGCGAAGTTAGAGAGGGTAGATAAAGATTATAATGTGTCAGGTGATTAATAAAATGCCAAAACAAACATGTATGTTTTAGGACCTTTGTTTTTAAACTATCCACAGATTTATCTGCCATTTTCTCCTTTTGGCAGGCTATTCCAACACTACCTCCCTATATGTCTTTCTCCTCGCCCTTGGAATAATACAAAATGTGTTGTTAGGGGACCTGAGTGATCTGGGGTTAGCATACATTTAGAGCTTGTAATCCGTTAAAGGAGCGTAAAATATATTCTCAAGTTGGCAGGCAATCAATGAAGAGATTATGTAACATCCACATGTTGATATGCATTGAACTAGGTTATCATTAGGGCTAATGGGATTGGGTGATGAGGAGAGGTAAAGTTGTGTATCATAGTCATAGCTAGGAAAATTATACTGTGTTTGCCCTTGATATTTCCCAGTGGCACCATATAAAGACTAAACCTCACAGGTCCCAGGATAGAGCCTTGAGGAACTCTACACACTCTCTCTCTCTCACACACACACATACAAACACTCTCTACACAC